CTGTGTAGCTTTGGAGCCTGTCCTGGTAGACCTTTTGAGCCTTACTCTGTAGACCAGGCTGGCCTTGAACTCTCAGAGATCCAGCTGCCCCTGCCTCCCGAGTTCTGGGATTAAAGGTGTGCTTCACCACCACCTGGCTTCCACAAGTTTTAAACAGAGAACCTTAAAATTTTTGTTCCTTTTAGAAATTGGACTGTGTGTGTGTCTATCTGTCTGCCTGTCTGTCTCTGTCCCTATGTACCCCTGGCAGTGTGGAACTGCTGGGATTGAAGGTGTGTGCCACCTCTGTTTTACGTACATATTTACAGATGCTTACATCATCAGGTAAAAACTATTATTTACCATTTAAGAAACTTAGCCATGGAATGAATTACTGCTGAAATCTTACTATGTGAGAAGTGTACTGGCGATGGCTTCTCCAAGGCTAGGGGTGTAGCTCGTTGCTTGCTTACCTAGCTGCGGGAGGCCCTGGGTTCCGGCCCAAGCACTTAGCAAACCTGGTCTGGTGCTGCAGGCCTGTTATTGTAGAATTTGGGAGGTGGAAGGAGGAGGGTCAGAAGTTCAAAGTCATCCTCCTCTACTACTACAAATCAAGTTTGAGGCCAGGCTTGGCTAGTAAGAGCCTGTATTTAAATTTAAAAAAAAAAAGCTACATAGTATATAGGGACCATACCAGTAAAGACAGATAAAACCACATAACAGCCTACAGCCATCATTCAGATGAGGCTTGTCACCTATACGATAGCACCTAAATTCAAGGACCCGCACCCAGTCCTTAGTTGATGGTCTTTGCAGAAGACCACACTGGATAGTACCAACGAAGTTTTAATACCATCTGAGGTACATAGGAGTCCCTGTCAGTAGTCCCAGTACCTGGTTTGCACAGTTAACTGTATCCTGATCTAATGTTTAATCGTCAGAGATGTTGCTTTTTTGTGAAATAAGACTTTTGGGCTTAGATCTACTGAATTGCTTATTAAAGTTGATGTGTTTCGTGACCGCTTTTGACTTTTAAAATAAGCTGGTAAACGCTTTCAAAGTAGTTTTTTGTTGTGTTGTAGGATGTATTGGATCCCTGCCTCCTCATTGCTGGAGTACTTTCCTGGGTGTCAGACCTTGGAATGCAAGTTGAGGGTTTTACTTCTGTTGAGTGATAGCTAGCTGGTAACAAACGAGAACCGGAGCAGGTGAAATGTAAGGACTCTGTTTATGTAAATAAACGTCTTGACAAGCTACATAATGTAAAGCTCACTAAATTTTGGTGACATTTTGGTTTGCTTTGAGACCATGTCTCACTCAGGCCATGACTGGTCTGGAATTCACAGATCTCCCAGTGCTGGAATTAAAGCCACACCCATGAACATTTCTTTTCTATCTGTTTATTTTATTATTTTGTGTACGAGTGTTTTCCCTCATAGAGGTTGTGTGCCTAGTGCCTGCTGAGGTCTGAAAAAGGCCTCAGATCCCCTGGGACTAGAGTTATAGACAGGCAAGTTGTGAGCCACTGTGTGAATGCTAGGAATTGAACCCAGGTCCTCTGTAAGCAACAAGTACTCATCCATTGAGTCTTCTCTACCCCCTCCCCGCCCCATCCCAACATTTTTTTTTTAAAGTATAAATTAAAAAATTGAAAGCAAACCTTTGGAATTTGAGTGAAATTGTTAATTGTTTAATAAAAGTAAATGCTTTATACCATTTTTTGGCAGGGAGTAGGGATTAGAGACAGCAGTTTCTCTGTGTAGCCCTGGCTATCCTGGAACTATAGATGAGGCTGACCTGAAATTCAGGGCTCCTTTCTCTGCCTCCCAAGTGCTTGGCTTGAAGGAATGTGCCACCACACCCAGCTGCTTTATGTGAGTGTAATGCAAAACTTGAAAGAGATCAGCTAAAAGTCTTCCAAGAATTTAGATCCTCCCAGCCCCCACTCTCTGGGTAAAATCAGTTTTACAAGTAGATAATAAAGTTGTATAATAAATAATAACATTGCTGGAACTATAATTGTAGGTCTGCCTGGAAATTGTAGGGGTAGCACTGAAAACTCCCTTAGCCCTTGTTCAGCATCTCACAGTAGGATGGGAAGACTTGAGGATGCAACACACAGAGGCAGTGGGGTTTATGTCCGGTAGCATCCGGTAGCGCCCGTGCTGCCTTCTGCAGAGCAGACACTTCCTGACTGCGCGCTGAGAGAAGTCACTTATCTTGGGAAGAGAACACCTTCAAGTGACCTTGGTCTTTGGGATACCGGTGCCCTTGCTGATCTCAGTCACTGTATACAATGACTGATTTATTGAATGAAAAAGCGTGCCTCAAATTGCTTTAGAGGCTGTACCAATGGGTGTAGTGCTGGTTTTCGTTAATGCAAAATATGAGTTTTAACTAATTGAAGTACATATGTAGTTGACTTTAGTTAGTGGCCAAATCATTGTTTTTCATTTTGGATAAGAACGGGTCTTAGAATTTTTTGACTCTGTCATTTGGCTCTTACTTGGAAGGAAATGTTATCTAGTTAGATTTACCTCCTGGTGTTCAAATAAACACCGCCAGCACAACCGTAGAACCGTAGCCAGTATTGTTTCCGTTAATGATTACAAGGCAAACCCCACGTTTTTCACATTAACCGTGTGAGTCCCTGTGTTTGTAGTTGTTATTCCCACCTTAATACTGGGCGAATGGTGGTAAACAGGCTGCAAATGGGAGAGCAGGACTGGGATCCAGCGCCGTCTGCCCTGCCTCCTCGCTCAGTTTCGTCTCCTCCGTGTGTGGGCATCACTAGGTTCCTCTCAGGTGTTTGCAGTTTTCAACAACTGCTAATACTAGAAGGTCTTTTCTAGAGCTATTGGTCCTCTTTGCTTCTTTCTCTTTTTCTTTTTTTTAAATATATATTTATTCGTTAGGCATATAATGTTCTGCCTGCAGGCCAGAAAAGGGCACCAGATCTCATTACAGACGGTTGTGAGCCACCACGTGGTTGCTGGGAATTGAACTCAGGTGCTCTGAAAAAGAGCAGCCAGTGCTCTTACCCTCTGTGCCATCTCTCCAGCCCTTTCTCTTTATTTTTCATTAAAAGTTACTGTGAATCATACAGTGGGAAGACCAGTGACCTCAAAATCTCACCCTACTTAAAATGGGCTTGGGTCAGTGTTTTTCTATACTTTTTAACCCTTTGCATTCAGTTGTGTTATTGTGTAGATTTGTTTTATATAATTCTAGTGTTAGCAGTTCTGTTTCTGCCCCTTCATTTGCTGCCTTCATTCATCAATATACTTTTTATTTTTTTCAAGGCAGGTTTCTCTGTATCTTTGAAACCTATCCTGGAACTAGCTCTGTAGACCAGGCTGGCCTCAAACTCAAAGAGATAGATCCTCCTGTCTCAGCCTCCCGAGTGCTGGGACTAAAGATATGCACCACCACCATCCAGCTTTTTTATTTCCTGTTTTTTGAGACAGGGTCTAACTGTATGTCCTGGCTGGCCTGGAACTCACAGAGATCTACTTGCCTCTGCCTCCCAAGTGCTAGGATTAAAGACTTAGGCCACCAAACCCAGCAGATTTTTTTAATAGAATTTTTGATTTATTTTTAAAAGATTTAGTTTATGTGTATTCATCTTTTGCTTGTGTGTATGTTTGTGCACCAAATATGTACAGTGCCCATGGAGACCTGAAAAGAGCATTGGATCCCCTGGAACTGGAGATACAAATGGTTGTGAAGTTGCCATGTAGGAACTGGGAATCGAACATGGATCCTCTGGAGGGATGCTTTTAACCACTAAGCCATTCTCCAGCCCTAATAAATTTTTTTCTGTGGAAAATCTCAAGCAAATAAAAAAATGAAACACTTAAAGCCCTGCTTTGATAAGGGTTCACATGTGTGATCCTGTATTCAGGAGACTGAAGTAGGCGTCTGAGTCTGAGGTTCTCTTAATTATATGGTAGAACTCTTGTCCCCAAAACCTTAGGTAGAGAGCAAGACAGATGGCCCAGCAGTTAAACACTTAGTGCTCTTGCAGATGACCCTGCTTGGGTTCCCAGCATTTATTCATAGGTACTTTAATCTACCTTTAACTCCAGTTCCAAGGAATCAAATGCCCTCCTTGACCTCCACAGGCTCCGGCAAGTATGTGGTACATATAAAATAACTTTTAAAACCCCAAAGTAAATTTGAGAAAAGAATACTTGCTTTTAGCACACTTTAAAGATAAGCAACAGTTCCTTAATATCAAATCATTGAAGAGGCTTTTAATGCTCTACACTCAAATTATTAACTTTTAGTTTAAGTTGTTTATTTACTTTTACTTTTGTTGTTCGTGTGTTCTGTTGTTTAAGATGTCTGTTCCCTTTCAAATTTAGTATGTGTTTTTCCCCTAGCATGAAGACAGTTTTTTGTGTGTATATGTTCATTTGTATATAGGGATGCGTGCGCACGCGTGTGTGTGTGTGTGTGTGTGTGTGTGTGTGTGTGTGTGTGTGCGTGCGTGCACGCGCGCGTGCATATGGAGGCCAGAGGTCAACCTCAGGCATTGTTCCTCGGGTGCTGTCTACCTTATTTTTGAGACCGGGTCTCTCGTTGACTTGGAATTTCATAAGTAGGCTGGCTGGCTGGCCCACCAGCAAGTCTATTGGGTGCAGAGATGCAGCAGTGCCTAGCTTTTTGAAGATGGAGTTTCAGGGGTCCTCATGCCTCCTTCCTTGTTTGTTTGGATACAAGGTCTCACTATGTGGCCTTGGCTGGCATGGAACTTACTGTGTAGACCAGACTGGTCTGGAATTTGTAGAGATCTGCTTGCCTCTGCCTCATTTTTAACTTTAAAAATGTTAAGCTTTTTGCTCTTGGTGCCTTTTGTTCAATATGAGAAAATTGAATAATTAGCTAATTTTTTTTTTGTCTTCAAATTTAAAAAATAATTTAGGCTTATTACTGGCTTTTGCTTCATTAGCATAGAAAACCATGCCTTGATTGAAAGCACCTGCCTGATGTCTGGCTGTCGTTTTTGTTTTACGTAGGTCTGATTACTAGAAGATGGCGAAGGCCAGCCACAGCAGCTATGTCCTTCAGCAGCTCAACAACCAGAGAGAGTGGGGTTTCCTCTGTGACTGCTGCATTGCTATCGACGACATTTACTTCCAGGCACACAAAGCGGTCTTGGCTGCCTGCAGCTCCTATTTTAGAATGTTCTTCATGAACCATCAGCACAGTACTGCACAGCTGAATCTCAGCAACATGAAAATAAGCGCTGAGTGTTTTGATCTCATTTTGCAGTTCATGTATTTAGGAAAGATTATGACTGCTCCTTCCAGTTTCGAGCAGTTCAAGGTGGCAATGAACTACCTACAGCTGTACAACGTTCCTGACTGCTTAGAAGACATACAGGACGCAGACTGTTCTAGTTCAAAGTGTTCATCTTCCGCTTCAAGCAAACAGAACAGCAAGATGATCTTTGGGGTGAGGATGTATGAAGACACGGTGGCGAGGAATGGCACCGAAGCCAGCAGGTGGTGTGCAGAGCCCAGCTCAACGGTGAATACACCACATAACAGAGAGCCCGACGAAGAATCTTTACAGTTAGCCAGTTTTCCTGAGCCAATATTTGATGTGTGTAAAAAAAGCTCTGTGTCCAAGTTATCTACTCCAAAAGAACGTGTATCACGACGCTTTGGGCGGAGTTTTACCTGTGATAGTTGTGGGTTTGGCTTCAGCTGTGAGAAGTTACTAGACGAGCATGTGCTGACCTGCACTAACAGACATTCATACCAAAGCACGGCGAGAGCTTACCACCGAATAGTAGATATTAGAGATGGCAAAGATAGTAACATCAAAGCGGAACTTGGTGAAAAGGAGTCTTCCAAAACATTTTCCGCACAGACAGACAAATACAGAGAAGACGCCAGCCAGGCGCCCGATGATTCAGCTTCGACCACTGCAGGCAGAAAAGGCACAGTGGAGTCTGGAATGGCGGCTGGTGAAGACAAAAGTAGAGCCACCGAGACGAAAAGAATTATTATCAAGATGGAGCCGGAAGATATCCCTACAGATGAGATGAAAGACTTCAACATCATTAAAGTTGCTGACAAAGACTGCAATGAATCCACGGACAATGATGAGTTAGAAGATGAACCCGAAGAGCCGTTTTATCGATACTATGTTGAGGAAGATGTCGGCATTAAAAAGAGTGGAAGGAAAACCCTAAAGCCTCGGATGTCCGTAAGTGTGGATGAAAGAAGTGGTTTAGAAGGTATGAGACCCCCCACCAATAGCAGTCCAGGGCAAGAGGATGCTGACAATGCCTCTTGTGAGTTGTGTGGGCTCCCAATAACTGAGGAGGACCTGTCATCTCATTACTTAGCCAAACACATCGAAAACATCTGCGCATGTGGTAAATGTGGACAAATACTTGTCAAGGGCAGACAGCTTCAGGAACATGCTCAGAGATGTGGAGAACCTCAGGATCTGACAATGAACGGGCTGGGAAATGCCGACGAGAAGATGGACATGGACGAGAATCCTGATGAGCAGTCTGAGATAAGAGACATGTTTGAAATGCTAGACGATTTCAGGGACAATCATTACCAAATAAACAGTATCCAGAAAAAGCAGCTATTTAAACACTCTGCTTGTCCTTTTCGGTGTCCCAATTGTGGCCAGCGTTTCGAAACTGAAAACTTAGTGGTCGAGCATATGTCTAGCTGCCTAGACCAGGATATGTTTAAGAGTGCCATGGAAGAAAATGAAAGAGATCACAGACGAAAACATTTTTGTAATCTGTGTGGAAAAGGATTTTATCAGCGCTGTCATTTGAGAGAACACTATACTGTTCATACTAAGGAAAAGCAGTTTGTGTGTCAGACATGTGGAAAGCAGTTTTTAAGAGAGCGGCAGTTGCGTCTGCACAATGACATGCACAAAGGCATGGCCAGGTATGTCTGTTCCATTTGTGATCAAGGAAACTTCCGAAAACATGACCATGTACGGCATATGATTTCCCACTTATCTGCTGGCGAGACTATATGCCAGGTCTGCTTTCAGATATTCCCAAATAATGAGCAACTGGAGCAGCATATGGATGTTCATCTCTATACGTGTGGAATTTGTGGAGCAAAGTTTAATTTGAGGAAGGATATGAGATCACATTATAATGCCAAGCATTTGAAAAGAACCTGAGGGGCTTCCTACTGTATGAATGTTTAGCTGATAGGCAGGACACCAAAGCGAAAAGGAGATGAGCTATTTAGACACTGATTTTACAAGAAGTGTTGGGAAAACTTTTCATGGCCCTTTTACTTTAACATTTTTGTTTAGGACCTTAAGTATATTTTAGGCATTAAATGTTATCATTTTTGATGTTTCTAAGAGCATTCTTTGTTCGTAGTTTTCTTAACTACCATTAAAGTTACTTTTCAATGTAGACTGTAAGTGGCTATTATCCCTTCAATGACTATTAAACTAGTATTTTTTTTTTAACCAATAAGGTAATGATTTCACTATTTCTATGTACTTTGATTTTAAGGTTATCCTATGAAATTTTAAACCCTAGATCATTGACCATTCCTACTTAAATTTTTAAAAAAATTATTTAAAAACTATCCTATTCATTTTTAGCTTCTTTTTTGGCTTTGCTTTTTGGGGTTTTTTATTTTTGCCTTTTTGTCTTTTTGTCAGTTGTATAGTGGGGTGTCTACTGTTCATTCTCCCTTATCAATGAAATCCATATTCTTAAATTGACAAGCTTAGGCAAGTGAGGTGCACTGAATCTAACCTTTAAGGTGGACATGGGCTCAATCCTGGCCTAAGATTGATGGACCTAAGGAAATTCCTATAAATAAACATTTCCTATAATTGATAAAATATTATCATTTAATAATCACATTTAAAACTTATATTAAGTGTAAATCCCAATGACTTTTCCTCACTTGAGAAATTAGTGGGGATAAGCCATTTCATTTTGTGATACTGAATTTAACTATGATAGTTAATTAAAAAGACATCTTGTATTCATTAAAATATTTTAATTTAAAAATATTCTGATTTCTAAAATGTGTTAGTTTATCAATTATTTTGTTTTTAAATAAGACTTTAATAGCTCTTTAGGAATATGACATTTAAGGAAAAATTATTTTTCATTTTTAAAATTACTTTGGAACTGAGATTGAAAAAGCTGCCATGTATATTGATAAATCTAATAAAATAAAGAAATCAACTATAAATCTGGTTGTTCTATAAAAGTAGAGTGCACAAAGGTGTGTCGTGTTTTACACTAAGATTTGGAGGAAGTGTGTTGTGGCAAATTGCAGTTTATCGCTATGCTTTATATATCATCTTCTGTAAAAGATACAAGATTGAGGACTCTTAACTAATCACAGCATATAACTGGAAGCAGTCTACTGTCAGGTGACGCAGTCATACTGTCGATTGCAGACAGGGTCTATAACCATCAGTTACATGTGAGCTAAAACACTGGCGAAACAACCCACCAATAAACACGTCTAGAGACTAGAGTGCCTTTTAACGCGAGTCACTTGAAACACCCTTCTTAGATGAAAGGTATGGCTCTGATTTGTGGGTAGTAGTCTAAAAGCATTGCTCTTCTTGCTCTCAATATTTTTAAGGCACGCAAATCATATTTTTACATGCTATTTGCATAAAAGCACAAGTTGCCAAGAGAACTGAGAGACGTGTTGGCTAGGACAGGGTTAGCTGAAAGTACTCGAGCACGGAGTGCGCACAAATCGATGGCGTGTGGTGAAGTATTAGGACAGGAGGGTACGCAAGCCAAGCCGGTTGAAACCTGATCTTAAGAGAGACACAAAAACATAAGGAGATCGTGGGAATTAGTTAATGGGAAAAGCTGAAAGGGCAGTCATTTTAAAATCTCTTAGATCTAATAGTTTAACAAGTACTTAAAACTGACAAGAAAATATAAGATGCGTACCTGGATTACTGGGAAACACCTGACAAGTGTTCTCACAAAGCCAGACATTAAAGAGCCAGTGTAAAGGAAGGGAAGACAAAGTCAAGTTATACAGTTGGGGGGGGGGGCGGCTTCATTTGGGGGGTCACTTTTCCCTGTCAGAATTCCTGTTGCAAGGGCTCTCCCACTTTTTAAATATCTCTTTTTGAGGAGGGGACCCCTCTTATGAGGGACAGGGGTTTCAGTTAGTGTTTAATGTATGCTAACAACTAATAAATTAGGAAGCAAATGTATCCTAACTTTACCCAGTTGTGACAGTTGGAAAAGCCATGTTTGATGATGTTTTCTATTTCATACTGTATAGTATGCGTGTTTTTGGGGAATTAAGCTACAGGTTATCACAGGTTTCTCCAAGTAGAGTGTACAGTTTGTTTTCTTTAACAAGACAGGGTTCAGGTGAAAGCTACTGAGCTTGGGCTGGAGAGATGACTCAGAGGTTCAGAGTACTGGCTGCTCTTCCCAGCAAAAAGAAAAAAAGGGGGGGGGGGATAATTAAACTGAGTGCCTGAAATCCCAGCATGCAAGAGGCTAGGCTAGTTTCAAGGCTACCACTTGAGTTCAGAGCTGCACTGGTGTTAGTAAGACCCTGTCTCAGAAAAATGAAAGATACTATTGCGGACAGCACGACAGTGGGATTAAAAGTCCATGTTTCAACTTGAAGCAAAAATATGAACGCGATGTAAAATTGAGTGAAAACCGATATATGGAGTTTGGAGGAGGAGGAGGTGTAGGATTCAGATCTTGATTAGGCTAATCCAACTGTAGCTGAAATACCCCATGGGATCGTGGTTATAAGCATGGACAGGATGTGCCCCTAAGAGCCAGGTGGAGGTGGTTGGTGGTAACTTCTTACTGGTTAAGCGATATCCCCTTATATCACTAATGAAATTATGTATTTATTAGATCTCTAAAAAAAATCTTCTTAAAAGCCAGTGTAATAGCTGTAATATTGAAGAGTAAAACAAAAAGAGATAACACCAATGCTAAAAGAAAAAGACCCAAATATGTATATGCAGCTGAAAAGTTTAAAATTTGACATTCCTAATCTGAACTGACTTTATCATTAAGAACTGGATATGATAGCACATACTTGAAAATCAGCATTTGGGAGGTTGAACCAGGAGCACCAAGAGTTCGAGGCCAGTCTGGACTACGAGATACCATGTCACAGGTTGTTTAAAAGAAAGAAAAGAGCTGCCCCACCCCATTGATGTGTTTCGATCATTTCCTCAGCTTTGTTCACCGTCCTCTTTTTTTCTGTATAAATCCTTCCCAATGACAAAATGCCAGTTTTCTACCACTAACTAGGATTGCAGGGGAGCATATTTTCATAGAGTCCTGTCCTCAGTGCCCAGTAGCTCAGCTCAGGGAACTAGGTCTGATAGGCATGGGCACTAAGAAACTAGCACAAGTGATGCCATCCTTCATAGGAGGAATTTGAAGCTGAACATTGCCCAAAGTCAGGCTCCCGATAATGGGAGCATCCATTTCTTCAGCATGCTATATTCAGATGTTTTGCACACATAATTTTAATTGATTCTCATTCCCTTTGTGGTAAGTATACTAATTTTCCAGATGGGGGGAGGGGGCTAATATCCGAAAACTATCTTTCCTAAGCCACACAAACTATATTTGACCTGGAATTTGAACTTAATCTTTGGCGTAGGCTACGCTCTTGTTCTTAATCGTGAAGACTCATGTTCCGTCTACAAAGAAGTGCCTTTTCAGCATAGCACACACGATAAAGATCGTGTGAGGCTGTGCTCCTTGGTCATCTCATCTGTGATGCCTGGTAAGGTGGCTGGTTAGTGGGTACTTAGGAACAATCTGAGGTGAGGTGACAACGAAAGCAGAAAGCAAATGAATGTGTCATTGGAATGTTGTAGACATGAAATGCTGAGGAATGTTTTGGTTTGCTTCATTTAAATTCAAAACATTTCGTGGAATAGTTAGTTATCTGAGGGCCCAATAATCAGGAGAAAGTTAGCTTGAATTCACATTGCAGGGCTCTGGTAGGCTTCCCTTCCTCCCCCTGTGCCTGCTCTGTGTGTCTTAGTTTCCACCAGCCTGTTTCCTTGTATTGGTCATGGAACTGGTGAGTTGAAGTCAGACTCCTTGAACAAATCTTCCCAAGAAAAAAAAACATAACAATAACCAGTTTCTTTTTTGCTCTAATAGATGTGGGTAAGAAACTCACTATTTCCCTCCCCCACTGGGATAGTGTGGTTGCTTTATCAAAGGACTGCTTTAAAACAAAAGGCGGTTATTCTAAAGATGTGTAACTCCGTTTATGAGAGTATCTGTAGATGTCTGGGAAGCTCCTCAAATGTGGTCTTACAAGAGAAATGAACGATGACCCCAGGAGGTCGCAGCTTCACAACCACCCCAGTCCAGCAGCACTCAAGACAAGACAATGCTTTCAGGAGAGCAGTACGATCCTGACCTTCACAGCTGTTATTCAATGTCTATACAACAGTCTATGCTAAAGCTGCCACTTTAATAATTTAGCTGCCATACGTCAATGAGATGGAGAATGTTCCATGACTGGTCATTCAAATGGCCCGCTCCGCACTGCTCCCTGTCAGTCTCTAGGACACATGATGGATATAGTCTCAAAAACAGATGTAATTTAGCTTTTTAGGAAAAGGCCAAAAGAGAAGGATTTTAATATTTATGTCTGTCAGTGACAATTGGTAAATAGAAACTAACCAGATGACAGAAACAACTTGTAAACCCATGCTAACTTTGAACCAATTGATTACTAACATATGCCCGTACAGACATACATAATTGAAGTTAGCATTGAGTTTAAATCTTGAGCTTCCTTATGGCAAGAGAACCAAATCATTGAGGCAGATTAGTAGTGAGACATTTTCTTTGTATCAAAGTCCACAGATCAATGGAGGGCAGAAGGTCATTAACACTGAAGGATGATGAAAATTACAATTCGATACTTGGTTTAATTCTAATGTGTCAATGTGCTAATCACTGAGCTAAGTACAAAAATCACAGGAAAGGCTAGTACCTGAGGAAGCTGACAAAAGACATTGCAGAGCCAAGAATATTAATAATTTCATGCAAGAAAATTTCCATTGAAAAAAGCTGGTTATGGTAGCATGTACCTTTAATCCCAGCACTTGGGAGGCAGAGACAGGCAGACCCCTGAGTTCAAGGACAGCCTGGTCTACTGAACAAGTTCCAGGACAACCAGGGCTGCACAAATAAACCCTGTCTCAAAAAACTAAACAAACAAAAAAGAAAATTGCATAGTAGTCTGTAATGACCTATTTCAGAAAGGACTGGAGTTAAACATACAACCTTTAAGCTGTACTTAACATTGCTGTTATTCCGCTTAAACCAATATTATACCCGTGTATTCGCTCTGTCGAGTGAATAGGCAGAGCTAGGGCTTTGTTCTGCTCTGAAGATGGGGCCTCAGGGATCCTAGCCTATTCTTGAACAGGGTGATCCCCCTGCCTCCACTCCCAGTTTCATCTCACAAGCACGGATCAACACACAGCTACATTGCTGTTTCTGATAGAACAGATCTAAGCACCCAGATTATGAAGATCACCTTTTCCTTCAGATGCTTCAGATATGTTCCCTAATGTGAGAAAAATATCTTAAGGGGCTAATTAAAAAAAAAAAAAGATACTAGTATTAGGGCAAAGCATTCTTAGAAAAATATAACCTTGCCCAACATCGGGGGGCAGGTTAGGAGAGTTACAAACCCAGGACTATTCCTGGCCATGTTTGTACTTGGTTTTCATTTGCAAAATCTACACCTAATATTTGTGGAAAGTCGTGCTGGAGTGATGGCGAGGACTAAAACCACGAACTGTCGAATTCATCACATCACATCATTTCAGTCAGATTTCGTCATTAGAAAAACACTGCAATACTATCTCATTTGAAGGGCAGCCCCTCTTGCCCTGCTCCCCTCATCTGACACTCATTTCGTCGTTACACACACACACACACACACACACACACACACACACACACATGCGCGCGCGCGCACACACACACAGCCATGCTTACATAGACCATACAGAAACAAAGCTAAAAGGTGCCCTGCATTTGAAGACTGCACTAGTGATAATAGTTTTTAAGTAAGTTCAAGCTCTAAGGGCTATTCTCTTGTTCCTACTCTGTTCCCTCCGCAGCGTGCCAGGGCCAAAGAGAAAATATTCTGACCTTAGCATGATGTTGTCTTGTAGAGCGGTTGCCTTGTGATGTTTTTTTTCTTGAGTTTTGTCTTTTTCTGTGTGGCAGTGGTGACGTAGGGCCTTCTAAGCCTCTGGAGAAGTGGCAGATGTGACTGTGGAGAGGACATGGGGAAGAATCATTCTTCAGCAGATAAGCTTTAAGTGCAGACCCAGGAAAGCAGAGCTGACGTGGCGCCATCTTTTCTGTCTTCCTGACAAACGCCATCAGCCCCCAAGTTCCAGTTACAAAGATCCAAGGAAACTCAGTAAAGATCACTTTGGGATCACGTCGTAACAAAGCTGATTCGCAGTGACTCTCCTAGTACTTACGGGAAATCTGCTAAAGAAACGTGACTGTAAAAGTCATGACTGAAGCCACGGTTCCCTTCTAGAATAAAGGGCTTGCTAGGCCTCTGTAAATGCACTATACAGGGAAATAATTACATATTCCCATAAACATATTCTAAACTCATAACGATCAGAATTATAGCTTATATATTATGAAATGTAGTTAAGCAATTTAAAAGGATATTAAAAATATCTGTAGAGTGTAAGTAAAAAGAAATGGGTACAGAAAAGAAAATCCAGGGCCAGTTCTTTAACAAGATGATGCGGCATTATGGAAATGTAATACTAGTCTTCCTTCCTCGCTGTGTGCCAGTCACACGCCTGCTTATGAATATCAGTCAGGCTTCCTTCTAAAAGTCTCCTGAACAGAGGAGCGCTATTCCGTAGTGGGAGATTTCCACAAACCATACACTGTTTTCTTCTTCAGAACTTAGCAGTACGGTCCCATAACGTAGAATAAATTTTTGTTAATCTCAGAACTTATGTATAGTGTTTGCTCAGCCTCAAATTTCAAAAGAAAACTAAGTACTAAATGAAATGATAATACGTCATGAAAAGCCTTTCCTCAGGTGAGATTTAGTGAGAGGTTGAGTCCAGCTATGTCTACAAACGCTTTGCTACACATACACTCCTTAACCACACGAATCTTATGGCCATATTCTTTCCTTATTGTGAATATACTTCTTTTTACCAACTATGTGACTAATTCCTTATTGCTTCTTTGTGTGTGTACGTGTGATTTAAAATGTTCTGATGCTTACTTTGTTTTTATGCAAAATTCTTCAAGTATGTTAATAAAGTTACACAAAAGAATCTGTCCTTAGGAATGAAAGCTGTGGGCGTTGCACTTTAATCCCAGCACTTAGGAGGCAGAGGCAGGCAGATCTCTGTAAGTTCATGGCCATCCTAGTGTACGTAATGATCTCCATTATATAGCTAGCCAGGGCTATATAATGAGACCTCATCTAAAAAAAAATTTATTTAAAAAAATGTAACTTAGAGGTAGTAATAACTTAAATCTCATTCTGGAAACTGGCTGAAAAATTAGAAAGAGTCCACCCTAAAGGATAATGGGGATAGAGGAGAAAAGAGCAAAGAGGAGAACTTGGCCAGAGTTCAGATTTGGAGCAGTCATGGTGATGTATGCCTGCAATCCTAGAGCTTGGGTGGGGAAGTAGGAGGATCAAGAAAAGTTCAGTACCAGCCTTGGCTAGAGTGAATTCAAAGCCAGCCTGGGCGACCCTGTCTCAAACAAACAGACAAAAATATTCCAAATATATGACTGTTGCAAGACAAAAAGTCTAGACCAGTGTTAGAGATGAAACACCACCAGGGTTTATCTCTCTGGGGTGCATAAGCATACAGACCACAGGCATCTTAAAATACATAGAAAATAGAGGGAAAAAAATACCAGTAACTAAAGGAACCTAATCAAGATAGAAAAGATTCAAACAATTTTTGACTGTTTATTGCACTAGATTTACCAAAGAAAATGGCTTGACTTTGACTGTACTAAATGCAAGTGTAACGAAATATAATAACTGTAAGTGGCATAAGTGCATATTATAATGTGAGTAATTTCTGTACATTATTTTAAGTGGAATTTTTGGATTACGTACAGTATTTTTGTTACGTTTTGAAATCCATTGCTTTTACCTAATAAAATTTCCTCCTCTACATTCAGAAGTGAAGCTGTCTGTACAGTACTTTCATTTGTATTGCATTGCTTTGCAACCTGATTCTTTCAGAATACCTAGTTGGGCCGGGTGGTGGTGGCGCACGCCTTTAATCCCAGCACTCCGAGGCAGAGGCAGGCGGATCTCTGTAAGTTCGAGACCAGCCTGGTCTACAGAGCTAGTTCCAGGACAGGCTCCGAAGCCACAGAGAAACCCTGTCTCGAAAAACCAAAAAAAAAAAAAAAAAGGATACCTAGTTGGCTAAGTCATCAACTCCTCGCATCCTCTAGGGTCACAATAATGTCACCAAAAGTGGTCATGGGTGGCCTGAAAATTTTACTGCTGAATCCTGTTTCTTGTTTATTTGCTTTTATACAGATGGATGACTGGAAAATACAAGGCAAACATGAAAACAAATGAATTGGGTTTATTCCTGACACAAAATAGTTACTTTAAAAAAATCTGATAAGAGAATTAACTTTATCAGAGCCTTCTTCACTCAAAAGCAAACATGATTTACTATTCAAAAAAAAGACTTATATAGTAAAATTCACTTTTCTTATTTTCAGGTAGGGAATTTTTTTGTGTGTTGACGATAATAGAATGTTTGGTCTGCCTGTCTCCTTGACAGGGCAGCCTCATTTGCCACGGTGTATCAAACTGTTCCCCAAGGAACATGATTCTGGTTAGCACTCAAGGCAGACAGCTTGCAGCTTCCGGCCATCTCTTGGAAAACATCTCTTCCAGGGCCAGGTATTTAGCTGGCCATGGGTAACATGGCAGTCTCCTTGAGCATTCTACTGTATAACTTCAGTTTAGTTGAACTTGAGACTAAGCTTTGTTTTGCTGCTTTTTGAGACAGGGTCTTTCTCTGTAGCCCACGCTGCCTGTAACTGGTGATGATCTTCCTGCCTTCAGAGTTCTGGAATTACAGGCTTAAATCACCATACCAAATAAGACAGATTTTTTTTTCTTAAAGGTTTATTTATTTATTATATATAGTGTTCTTCCTGCATGTATGCCCTCAAGCCAGAAGAGGGCACCAGATCTTATTACAGATGGTTGTGAGCCACCATGTGGTTGCTGGGAATTGAACTCAGGACCTTTGGAAGAACAGCTAGTGCTCATAAGTACTGAGCCATCCCTCCAGGCCCACAAGACAGATTTTTAAGACTCAAAGAAAATAAGTGGTAATTTTCCCTGTCGTAGGGACAGGGAATTGGAGAATTCCTTTAAGACCAGGCACTTCAGGGCTGATGAGGAGCTCACCAGGTGAAGGCACTTGCCACCAACCCTGGAGACCTGAGTTTGACCCCCCAGAACCATGTGAACACCACTCTCTCAAGTTGTCCTCTGACCTCCATATGCACAAGGACATGCCTGTGTCCTCACACGAAGTAAGTATGTCCAGGAAAACAAAACCAGGGCACCTGAGACAAGGAGGATCAAGGCTAGCCAGTGTCATGTAGCAAGACCTTGTTATAAAATGCATGGTGTGCAAGCTTCTAATCCCAGGGCAAGAAAGCAGAAGGAGGTGGGTCTCTGTGAGTTCAAGGCCAGCCTGGTCTACAAAGGGAATTTCAGGACAGTCAGGGCTGTTACACAGAGAAACCCTGGAAACCCTGTCTTAAACCAAAAAAAAAAAAAAAAAAAAAAGAAAGAAAAAAGAAAAAAATTATAAAATGGCATTGTTTATTAAATACAATCATTAGATAATTAGTTGAACTCCAGTCTGCTCATACATGCCCAAGCTAGAAGCTGTAACTCATTCTATTTTCTCTTGGGGCCTCTCCAGAGCCACCCAGTCCTAATGAAAGCTGTGCCTGGGTGGAACTCAGGACACTTTAGCCTTGTGCTCCACCACCAGCTATGCTCTACCACATCATCGTGTGTCTCATGTTCGCTCGAGATCTCTGGTGCAGAGATGTTCCAATGTCAGTCTGTTTCAGCTCTTAGTCTCTGCGATGCCCTTCAATACAGACATGTGTGAGAGGATTTTCTTCTTACCCAGGAGGAAGATGAAGTTGTTTGCAGATGGAAATACTGTTCTTTGGGTAGCTTGTAATAAACAATGGGTGGGCTGGGAATATGGCCCAGAGATAAAGTGCATTATAGGTTTTGTATACATGAAACCCAACACCAAACCAAAAACCAAAACCCTCCAGGCTATGAGTTCCTACTGTGTTCCAGACACTCTTCTGAGGACTAGGCTTTAGCTGGAGAGTGCTTACGGTATGTTAAAGCTCTGGATTATTTGACCAATCTATGAAGATTTTAGTCTTTGGATTAAAAAATATTTTGGAAACAGTTTAGTATGTATGATATGGTAAAGGATTTTACCTGTTAGAGCTCAGTACTGATTTGTGTGTCAGTAATATGAAAGGGGGAACTTGGTTTCAGTTGAATGTTAATTGCTGTTTTAAAAATCCTTTGGAAGGGCTGTGGAGGTAGCGCGGTTGACAGAGCTCTTGCTAGCCCGCACGAAGCCCTGAGTTCGATCCTTACATGAATAAAATGGGCATGTTAGTTCATGCTTATGATGGTAGCACTTGGGAGGGTAAGGCAAGAACATCAGAAAGTTGAAGTCATCTTTGACCACATAATGAGTTTGAGGTAAGTCTAGGCTACATTAAGACCCTGCCTGGAAAAAAATTGTGAAAATATAATAAAATAATTACTGATAACCCTGCCATCTAAATTCTGGTGTCATTTTCATATACATAGAATAATTCTACTAACAGAATAAGATACAGGAGCTGGTGAGGTAGCTCATTGTTTAAGAACAGCTGCTGCATGCACTGTCGAGAGTACCAGAGTTCAGGTCCCAGAATGAACATAACAGGATGGCTGCACCCCACACACCTGGACCTCCAGCTCTGCATGGGTGTCAGAAAGGGATGATGGCTGGGGCTTGCTGGCTTCCAAACAACTGGAAGCCTCGGGTTCAGCGAGAGCCCGTCTCAAAGGAATAGGATGAGAGTGATAAAGACAGTTTGCACTGTCTCCTGACTTGTGCAAGTGAGTGGGTATGCATTCAGGCGCATGAGTGTTGGCACACGCACACAGAAATAAAAAATTAAAAAGCATACAGGAGCCGAATTCTTTTTTACTTAATTATATCAAGGACAATTTCATGTGTCCTTAAAAAATTTGTAACAGGGCTGGGCGGTGGTGACGCATGCCTTTAATCCCAGCAACTTGGGAGGCAGAGGCAGGTGGATTCTGTGAGTTCGAAGCCAGCCTGGTCTACAAGAGCTAGTTCCAGGACAGTTCAAAGCTAAAAAGGAACTCTGTCTTGAAAATGTAAAAAATGCCATACAGACACACACACACACACACACACACACACACACACACACATCTTAAAAGGGGTCGGGGGAGTGGGGATGAGATGGCTTAGAGGTTAAGAGCACTGGCTGCTCTTCCAGAGGTCCTGAATTCAATTCCCAACAACCACATGGTAGCTCACAACCATCTGTAATAAGATCTGGTATCCTCTTCTGATATGAAAGCAAAAACACTGTATAAATAATAAATAAATCTTTAAAAATAAAAGAAGGGATGTAATGTTAAATGCATATGTTTTCAAATGGTAATGCTGGACTAGCATACTCTTAAGAATCTTGTGACTAGCTGAGCATGGTGGCGCACGCCTTTAAACCAGCACTCTGGAGGCCGAGGCAGGCGGATCTCTGAGATCTAGGCCAGCCTGGTCTACATAATGAGTTCTGGGACAGCCAGGGCTGTGAGAAAAGATCCTGCCTCAAAAAAACAAACATAAAAGCTTTGTACATAATTTTGTAGCTACATAATTCATATTCATGTGCATATATGTAATCGATTTCTGTGTTCAATATTTAAGTCATTTCCAATTTATTGCTGCCACCATAAATAATAACACAGGCGTTTTCTCTTAGCTCCTTAGGCTGAACCCACACAAATTAATATTAAAGGATCTTATCTCTCCAACAAACCCCGCAGCAGCAAGGGCTCTCAGTTGTGTTCACCTGTTTCGCTACAGCACTGATAACACAGATATTATCTAGTCAAAAACTGGCTGATTTAATCAATTTTAATGAACTGTGATTTTAATTAATCTATTTACTTTGGGTTTACTATTTCAATCTATAGCCCGCGCTGGCCTGGAACTCACTATGTAATAATCCTCCTGCCTCTCCATCCTAAGTGCTGAGATTATAATGTGCGACCACACCCACCAAAACTGTGTTTTCATAAAATCCTGAGGTATAATTGCAAAAAGGAAAAAAAAACACCTGTTTTAAAACATAATACAAACAAGGGGAATGTAAAATACCAACAAAATAAATATATGCTGTATCTGTGGGAGAGGCTCAAGAGACCACATAGAGTATGAAACATGTAAACATCAGTTTACCCGGGGAAATCTGACAGCAGAAAAACACAGCTAATAAGAACGCAGGTGTAACTGCTGTTGTCGTTTCCAAAGGCCGTTAAAGGTGACTGTGGCGGGAGACTGCAAGAATTGTCTGCAATGATTGCATAGACAGGACATAGCTACTTCACAGAAGAGCCGCTCCCTTTGAAGCTCTCCGGGTCTCTGCACTGTCGAGGTTTGGGCCTGCTGGCTCTCAATCTTGCTTTGCTCAGACTGTTTGAAGAAGACACCACCATATCATGTGTGGTGCCCTCGGAGGCCAGGAGAGGGCATTGGATTCTTTAGAACTGGAGGGTCAGATGGTTGTTAGCCCCCAGGTGGATGCTGGGAACCTAACCTAAGTCCTCCACAGGAGCAAGTCCTTTTAACTGCTGAGACATCTCTCTAGCCCACTAACACCCTTATTGTTTTAAGATTCATTTTTAAAAATATTTTCTAATATCATAAAGGTGTTTTGTCTGTGTGTGTGCCATCTGCCTTCCTAAGGTTTCTTTTTTATGTATGTATGTATGTATGTATGTATGTTTGCCTTTGTGAGTTTATGTGCACTTAAGTGCAAGAGCCCAGGGAGATC